GGGGGCGGCGAAGCCGGCCGAGTAGAAGTTGGCGGCGTGGGCGGGGAAGCCGGCCGAGTAAAAGCCGGGCGCGAAGATGGCGCTGCGCTTGCTGCGGCCCTTGGCCTCCTCAATGGCGGCCAGGTGCTCAGCGGTGGCGGCCTTCACCTCGGGCGTGAAGTCGACGGGGGCGGGGGCAACGCCGGTGTAGACGGGCGCCACGTTGGTGTCGACGGGGGCGACGTTGGTGTCGACGGGCGCGACGGGCAGCGCGTTGCTCTCGACCTGGAAGCCGTTGACGCCGGCCGTGTAGCGGACGGTGATGGGCTTGCCCTCGGGCGAGATGTAGCTGTAGCCGCCGGCGACATTGCCGTAGGCGTCACGCACAGCGGCGTGCGACTGATCGGCCTGGGCGTGGCCGTACGACGCCTGACCCAGCTCGTCCTGGCTGTGGTACGTGCTGGCGTAGCTGTAGGGCGCAGCGTAGCCGTTGTAGCCGGTGTAGCCGTTGTAGGGCAGGGCCGAGTAGCCGGTGTAGCCGGCGTAGGGCAGGGCCGAGTAGCCGTGGGCGGCGTAGGGCAGGGCCGAGTAGCCGTGGGCGGCGTAGGGCAGGGCCGAGTAGCCGTAGCCGGTGTAGGGCAGGGCCGAGAAGCCGCTGGCCGAGGCCACAGCCACGAGGGCGGAGAGAACCACCTGTCGCAGGAGAAAGAGAGCTTAGTTGCGGTGGGCATGGCTTCACGCGCTGACATTGTGAATAAAATGTACACTTGTTATCGGATCCCACAGTTGCAGTCCCCTTAAAACAACTCATATAATGTCCACGAGTGGTGTTTGCCATCAGTTCATACGACACCTGACCGAGTTTGGGGTAGACTTACCAGAGCGTTCATGTCGCTTGCTGTCACCGGTGTGTGTGTGTGATGCCGTGGCGGGAGGGCGGCCGGCTTTTATACAGGCCAGCCGGTCCTGCCCTCTCAAGGCCCCCGGCCCCCGGCGCCGGCGCCGCCCATGCATGCTGCCCGCCATTGAGGGGAACTCACTGGACATGCGCGCGCATTCTAATAATGCTTCCCGTGACATGGAAGGATCCTTTTGCAAAGTGCAAAATTGGACCCCAGACCCTTAAAGTACATTCAGGGTAAGAAAATATTTTTGTGCTCCCTGCTTTGTTGGCGAACATAAATCATGACTGGCATGGAGGGAGAGGATGTTTTAGATGGGAGTGCAGCTGAAGCGTAACAGGGGAGGGAGGAAGAAGTTTTGGAAACGGTAACGCTACGCACAGCTGCGATTTTAGAATTGTGCTTATGTATTACAAAATAGACTAAAGCCTAACAGTCGAACATCGCTGCCTTCTATTCAGGACAAAACAAGCCCATTCTTTGTAGTTGCATCTCTGCAACCAGGGGAAGGAAATGTTGAACTAAGAATTGTTATCGCCAAACTGGCGTTGCTACAAAAATACGTACTTTCAAAGCTGATATTATTACCCAAAAAAATTAATGTCTCAATTTATGGGCAGATCTTGTTTAGGCGTTCCGTCGTTCGCTCAACCCAAATAGTATTTTTGTGTAATCTGGCCAGGTTTTGGATGAACGAAGTGTAGCTTTTCACACAGCCATCAGTCATCACCGCCTGTGAAAAAGTGAACCAGCAACAGATGGTATGATGCATGTGCTGTTGGGCCGGTCGAGTGTTTCGATAGTAAAGTATACACGCGATACTTTGTAAGTTGCAAACTAAGTACCATGTTGCATACGTGCATCGTTGTGTTCACATCAGTGGAGAGACAACTACACAAGAAAGAGCACCGGTTGGTTTTTTATCAAACAGCGCGTGCCAAACTTTAGCAGACAACCCCGGGCCAAGGTATGCCGCTGCAGACCCCGATGTTCATGGTGCTCATTGAGATCAACAGGTATCATGTGGAGATAGCTGTGCTAACGATTATCGCCTCCGTGCACCTGTGTTATCGCAGATTATTGCAGCGTCCTGAAAGCTGAGGAGTGGAGTGGAAATCCACACCGAAGCTGAATGTTCCGACCTCTTTTGTTCGACTAGGCACCTTACATTAACAGTTGACGGACATGATATTGGATGACAATGTGTACCAAAAAGCAGTGAAACGGTTTGGGTATGAAGCTGATGAGAACCTGGAGCGCGAGCAGCAGCTTATGATCAAGGACTAATTACCCCACTTTAATATGATAAGGGGCTTTTCTACGTGTTTTGAGCTCGGCAGCCTGTCAATGCGCCACGCTGCCAGCGAAATGTACTGCATCCACGTAATATCTTCTTGGAGGAGGTACCAACGCGGTTGCGATGGCTGGTGCCGAAAACCTCTGCGCAAGTGGTCGTTTTTGTTTTTGAATCAAAAGATTGTTGTGTACCAGGCAGGCCAAAAAGCATGTTTTCTGGCTGTATTGAAGTAGGATGTTCACTGTGTGATGACAATCTAAAATGCGTCACTAATTAAACACTTCAAGTCCCGGTGGAGAGAGTGATGAATGCTGAACGTCCGAGACCACCAGACAAAAAAGGAGAGAAAAGTCAACGCCATGGAAGTTTGCGCAGCTGTTGTTGCCTTCCATTCATCCAGCATGTTATGCAACGCAAATTTGATCTAAGATCGAGTCGGATCGTAGAGCAATGGTGTCATCCCAAAAACCTTTCAGCCTTTTTGTTTTTCTACAACTGTTGGTTTTTTGTTCATTGGCTATAGATAGCGCGTTTGAGCTCAAAATGGTATATGCTACAATTATACAAACTTATTTGGCTCGATGCCAGGTAACACGCTGATGTTTTTTGGCGTATGATTTGAGCTACCCCGCGTCAAGCCAATAAAAAAGGCACCTTTGACCTCGACCCCCTTCGATCTCGGCGCAAGTTGATGGGAATGGGGTTCCCCGCAAAAGGTGTTAACATCTACTTCTATAGCCAGATGTCTTCCGCGCTGAGCGCTGAAGATTGTTCAATCTTAGTTTTTTTTCGTGATAAACTCAATGATTTGCGTATCTCCATAACGTTGCGCACAACAAGCATAAGTTGATAAGTGTAACCCGATTCAACACTCGTTACATGTCTCCTGCAAACGTGCATCAGTTATGTGGTGTGACATTGATCTGACCCTTGGCCTGACAGCGACAAGTTACATTTCATTGAGTCGTAACCATTTTGCGCCGGTAGAATGTTTTGTGTAATTATCACATCAACTGCCTGGCAGAGTTTGGCATGATGGTCGTGGGGTTTGGAGATAAATGAGTACCATTCGAGAAATGGAATGTATCATACTCCCATGTGCCCCCCGCCCCCCCCCCCCCCGCCATTTTCGGGTTTTGCCCTGTCATTGTCAAACATTATATGTCGCAGGAAAAAATCGAACCCGACAAGAAGCTCAGGATATGCTGTACAACATTCGTATGTTTTTCTAAAAAGATATCGTCTAAGGGGCATACCAGCCTAGGTCAGACACAATCGGGTGTAGTCATGTCCAGTTGACAGCGTTCTTGTAATGCACTAGGCAGAGCTAGTTTGTCTGCCCAGGGCACAGCTGCAAGCCTAGAGACAACATTGAGGTACTGCCAAACCTTTGCAGCTGGTAAAGTTCATGGAATGAAGTGATCAAGCCTGTCAGAATTCAAGGGCATTTCCGGACGGTACCTTCCTGGTTGAAATGGTCTGGAAACGTGTGCATGAGAAAATTTATATTGTAGTCCTCAGGCGGCAAAAATGTGTTAAAATGTAACATTCCGCATCCAAACCATGCGTCAATAAAATTGCTTGGATCTGGTCGGCGCGTGTGATAGTGTGCGCCTTATTGCCAGAAAAGCTTGAGCTAAACCGAAAATATCCGACCACTACTGTTGCTGCGAAATCCATTGCAGTAGTACATGACTACAACGCGGCACAAAATTGAAACGCATTTCTGCTACGCTTGGTTGCGTTTGTCCTCATTGTCATGAAGCTTGCGGCCACATCGGACACGGTTTGCGAAGCGTGTAGATGCAGAACGTGTAGATGTACCCAGAACGTGAACCCTGAGAGTCCTGTAAACGTTATGTTTGTTCCATCCGCCGTAGTTTTGGAACCCGGCTTGATGATAACCGTATGCTTGTTCCTGATCTTTTGGATCATCAAAACAGACCATCCAGGTTAAAAAACTAACCCGACTTAACGAAAAACATGAATAAAGGCCAACCCACAAGCACAAAGAACATGAATAAAGACACCCGTGCGTGAAGTGTGCTGGTTATCTCACATATATAAACTAAAACATTTACTAAATATAATTTTGCATTTCGATGCAATATTTCTTTTTAATCTGTAGCCGCTGTGTTTGATTGTCTCTTGTATCTGTTATGTCTGTATATATAGTTTTTTAAAAGTATGTATATATATATATATATATATATATATATATATATGTATGTATATATATATGCATATGGTATCTATTGTGTGGCGTAAGGGTGGTTTCATCTCATGTGTACGGACGCAATATTTGATTTGTATCATGTTGGTACTGGAGACAGCATTTCATTGCTGTCGTATGTGATTGGACATCACAGCATGAGGTGCTGAGAGACCTCGTAACTGATAGAGTACATGTACACGCCGAACTGTTGCGTTAGAAACGCCGTTAGTTGAGCTATCATGGACCAAATTTACCGTTTCCACGTCTCAGAATATTGTCACGTGTGAGCGAAAGCACTGTTATGTAGCGTGGCATAACTAAACAGCCGTCAACTATCCTTGTCAGCAATGGAGTCCATCATAGGAAGCTTTTGACGGGTAGAAGACGTGGTACGTAGCTACTGTATGCACATATTGCCTTTATGATGTGTCCATGTTTCTCGTACCAGCTGCTACTGAAACGGGGAATATTTTCCACCTGTGGCTTGGAGTATTAATGCCTAATAAAAGGCGTTGACGGGCCGCTTGGTGACTTTGTTTCGTGAAGAGGCTTTGATGTCACCAGAACTCAGCAGGGTTTCCTTGTTTTACTTCAGAACTCAACGAAGTGTTTACAAAGAATGGCAGTTGTATTTAAAAATAATGATTTTACGCAGATGAATGCGGATGTTGAACATAACGAAACAGCCATCAAACAGGTAGACCGGCCTGTGAGCTGGTGCGGCGTTTCGTACCCAGTGCAGGCGGCACTGTCGCTCGGTGCGTGACAGAGAAACACACTGCTGGCAGCTGGCGCGCTGGTGCAGCGCCGGCGCTCACACAAACGCCAGCGCTGCGCGAGCCGCTGCCACACTTGCGCCCTCTGCGCGCGTGCGACACTTGCGACACGAAGACACGGGTACTCGGTGACTAGCGACATGAACGCCCGACCGCTGTTGGCCGGCCGTGGCCGCAGCTGGCTGACTGTCCGGCGCCGGTTGGCTTAGACGATGGGGTCGACACGGTAGGCGGTGGCGTGGCCCGGGTTGAGGATGACCTCGGTGAGCTCAGCCGGGTAGCCAGCGGCGGCGACGTGACCGGCCGAGTAGACGGTGGCGGCGGGGGCGGCGAAGCCGGCCGAGTAGAAGTTGGCGGCGTGGGCGGGGAAGCCGGCCGAGTAGAAGCCGGGCGCGAAGATGGCGCTGCGCTTGCTGCGGCCCTTGGCCTCCTCAATGGCGGCCAGGTGCTCGGCGGTGGCGGCCTTCACCTCGGGCGTGAAGTCAACGGGGGCGGGGGCAACGCCGGTGTAGACGGGCGCCACGTTGGTGTCGACGGGGGCGACGTTGGTATCGACGGGCGCGACGGGCAGCGCGTTGCTCTCGACCTGGAAGCCGTTGACGCCGGCCGTGTAGCGGACGGTGATGGGCTTGCCCTCGGGCGAGATGTAGCTGTAGCCGCCGGCGACATTGCCGTAGGCGTCACGCACAGCGGCGTGCGACTGGTCGGCCTGGGCGTGGCCGTACGACGCCTGGCCCAGCTCGTCCTGGCTGTGGTACGTGCTGGCGTAGCTGTAGGGCGCAGCGTAGCCGTTGTAGCCGGTGTAGCCGTTGTAGGGCAGGGCCGAGTAGCCGGTGTAGCCGGCGTAGGGCAGGGCCGAGTAGCCGGTGTAGCCGGCGTAGGGCAGGGCCGAGTATCCACGGGACGCGTAGGGCAGGGCCGAGTAGCCGTGGGCGGCGTAGGGCAGGGCCGAGTAGCCGTAGCCGGCGTAGGGCAGGGCCGAGAAGCCGCTGGCCGAGGCCACAGCCACGAGGGCGGAGAGAACCACCTGTCGCAGGAGAAATAGAGCTTAGTTGCGGCGGCATGGCTTCAAGCGCCGACATTGTGAATAAAATGTACACTTAAAAGCGGATCGCACAGTTGCACTCTCTGTCTTTATAAAACAATTCATGGAATGTCTACGAGTGATGGTTGGTATCATTTGATACGACACTTGGCCATTTGTTGGGGTAGACTTACCAGAGCGTTCATGTCGCTTGCTGTCACCGGTGTGTGTGTGTGATGCCGTGGCGGGAGGGCGGCCGGCTTTTATACAGGCCGGCTGGTCCTGGCCTCTCAAGGCCCCGCCACTCCGCCCGGACCTACCACTGTTCTGCCGCTGGGCCCTGTGTGACGTCACAGCGGGCCCGCGCAGGGCCGATGATCTGTTTACTGGGCGTGGGGGGGGGGGGGGGGGGCATGGGAGCGGCCGGCGCTGGAGGGAAATCGCAATAATGTTCCGGCTCTTGCAGCGGTTGGGTGGCCCCGTTTCCCAGTACACTTGCACTCCAAAGAAAGAAAGGTGACAGTTTCTGTGTGGCGTGTGTGTGGCGAAAGTGGCGTTTCTGTGTTATTTTAGTTTCTCAAGCCCGCAGGGGAGAAGTCGGAAGTTGTGTTGCGCAACAGTGTGGAGGAGGTCCGTGTCGAACCGTCCCAGAAATGGATGTCTTGTGTGCTACTGGAGCGCGTGGCAGCTCTGTGCGAAAATGACGTATGAGTAGTTGAGAAAACAATGGAAATCCAGCCGTCAGGTTTTTACATTACAGCAGTTTGGTTTGTTATTGTAGGCTGCGATAGCATCTTTGACAAAAGCACATATTTTGACATATGGTCGCTGTCAGAGTAACTCAGCTGGCAGATATTCGTGGGACACTGGCCATTTTGTGGTAGGTATGTGGGATTTTCCGTCGCAACTAAGCTTATGTAGCTCATTGACCACTCATAGGCGGTCATAATTACCCGCACAAGACTCTTAAATCGCTCAGTTTTGACATTTCTGTCACGACTGATCGGTCATGGCAGCGTGCATGTACGTTAACGCTTACTTCAGTTGTTTTCGGCGATAAAGTATCTGTCATAGCTGTATTGTTTCCTGTCAAAGGCACGTTCTGTCTGAATCCAGTGCCTTGCAGGCCCCATTGTTACCGCAAACAATTCCTTGATCGATTTTCCGCGCTGAAAAGCCCGTTGCTAATTGTATTAATTGCTTGTAGTATCCATTGGTGGAGAAAAGAGAACAAACCGCTATTCAGTCAATAGTTTTGACCACAGCACAATTATTGGGGGTGCAATACCCAAATATTGTCACATGCAATCCGTTGTTGGACTGGCACAAAAATCGATCACTCGTGAGTTTTTCCAACTGAATTCCACTCGCCTTTGATCGGCGAAAGGTTTTGATTTGCTTTACCACATGTTTGTGATCGTTCAAGGAATTTCTTGTGTACTCTGCAATGAGTTTGACATTGCGGTTAAAAGATCGTCACTAAGTGACTCCTTGTATTGGATCAGAATTTTGGTGTGTTTTATTTCTTGTTCGTTTTTTTGTCTTGTTTTCGTGTTTTATATTCTTCCAAGAGTAATCGACATTCAACGGATGCTGCGTAGGTCCCACTTCTCTTCGCAATCCCACTTCCATTTCTTGTTTTCGTAATATGCACACAAATTATCCTAACTCCTATGTTGGCTGGGCTTTGCCTGCGGCAGACTGTTTAAAGAACTTCTTGCGTGCCGTGCTACGCCGTTAAAACGTTTTCACCGAATGTCTCCTGGTGTGGGATCAATTTTTGGCGTTTTTTTCTTGTTTATTTTTGTTCTCTTGTTTTTGCAAAGGTAATCAACATCCACCGCATCATACGTAGGTATGCCTTTATTTCTTGCACTCTTCATAAGTACACAGGTTGTCATAGCTGCTGCGTTGGGTGAGCCGAACTGCGGCAGGAAGTGCCCAGGCGCTGTGCTATGTTGAAGTTTCAAAGAGAGGAGTTTTTAGCGGCTTCGGTTGTCGTGTATTTGGCGGTAGATTTTGGAATGCAGTTCAATCTGGATTAAGCCTGGTAATTAGACGGGATGACATGGACTATCGTGGTTGGAGTCGTACTGGGATAGCAAACTGGATTCGGCCCCGGTCAGGCACGTCTTGGTAATAACTCGCAACTTCTTGAAGATGGCCAACTGTTTTCATTCCTTGCAAAAATAGGATTTCGCTCTATATATTCACCTCGTAACTAAATGACAACGTTATGGGTGCAATATGACCTATGCAGTCGGCGCGCCCAAAAACCCTAATTAACAACAACTGGTGCCGATGTCAAAACGATACGGTCCATAAACCTGAGAAAATCCAAGTTGATTAAGATTTTAACATTTTGTGAACAGTATGCCTCAGCTCAAAAGTATATTGGCCAACCAGTTACGAATGAACACGGGTTTTGCATTAGAGCTAAAGTACGATGGCTTTCTTTCGGGGATGTCTGCATTAGTGTATCTGATAATGTAGATTTATTTCTCCGTCCTTACCGTTGAATCTCTTTTATTTATAGCCCTGTTCCGCCTCGTTTTTTTATATTTTCTCTGACGATGTCGCTCTGCTTCGTTTATGTAGCTCCGCAAAGCATTCAGCGAAACGCTGTCGCCTATGTGGAGAATGGGTGGCTAGGTTGTGGGTTTGACATTGGTATTGTGCAAACGTGTGGCAGTTGTCTGCTGTCGGAGAGTGAAGACGCCCTCGCATAGCTGCCAGCGAGCCCCGCAAAAACTGGCGCACCTGGTGGCGGCAGCGCGCTGGCGAAGACGAGCAGCGGCGTCATCTCACTCAGACGCAGACGCAACGGCCAAAAACTGGTTCGTGCGCCGACCGGATCGGCGCCGCCGGCTGTGCGGGAGGGGGCGAGCCCCCGCTTCTCGCCGGCAGCGGCGCTGAAGCCTGCGCGGCTGCGTCTCCTCGGCTGCGGAGGTGCAGCGTGGGAGGCATTCTCTCCGTCGGATCCGTGGTCCTGCTCTGACCGCTGGAGGGAAAGCTCGGCGCGCCAGCCGGGATACCGCCACCAGTTTGCCTTGAGTGCTCATTTATTGGTGTTATTGGTGGTCTGGCCGCTGGAATAGCAACGTGGGTTTTTCTGCGTCGAGGTTGGTTGATCCCGACCCGCTGTACAAACCCGGTTCCGCACACAAGTGGCCCGATTCAATTAGCATTCTTGTGCGCAAAAACCGTAGCGTAAATCCGTGGCCTTCGGTGTCGCCCTGCCTGAACCTGTGACGGAAGGCCGAGGTCGAGAGGCATTGCTTTATACAAGCCTGCGCCTTTTGTCATGCAGGGGAACAAAATACCACCCGATTCTGATATAGGCCGTTTGAACCACGAATAACTGGGTTTCATCCACGCATTCTATGCATGAATGACAAGCGGATCGAAAGCTGAAGTGAAATTGATCCGATTCCTTCTGTCTAAACTCCTCAGACTGGTAATTTTTTGTTGCGCAATCAGGCATGGCACTAGCACGGTACTTCGCCAGCCCATATGTGTGCACGTGTGTTGACTTCTGACGGTAAACAGCGTTAAATGTGATGTGAAAATAACTGCACTGTACCAACTCTTGAAATTATATTGGCGTCTTTAAATTGATGTCTTCTCGTCCCCTTGTTTGATGTTCACATGCTAAATCTGATTGCATGCGAAAACATCCATTTGATATCCTCCCTCTCTGATTTGAGATTCAAAAAGCAAAGGTGCACTTCGTAGCTTTCCATGGTATGCAGTTCCACACTGCATGATTTGACTAATGCATAGTCACATATGGATGCCGTAACATATGTAAGACAGTCACTTCTGTGTCAAACCGTGTGATGCATACCATTGCCACCGGTTCAGGTTGTCTACCACAACTATTCAAATTCAAGCGTTGATTTTATCCTTCGTCCTATTCCATACTTCCTACAAAAACAACTATGTAAAAAACTGATGAAGGAATAGCACGCTTTTCTGAAAACCATTTTCCAGCCCTGGGCATTGTTGTGCTCTTCATATCACACTGACCTCAGCTGGGCTGCGCATGACAGTAAAAGCGCTGCACCTTCGTGCGTCCTTTTGTGGTACCATTCAGTGGAATGAGCAGCCGAGCACGTTGTTAGGCGCATGTAAAACTGGGTATCCAGTGGGATGGCGGGGCAAAGCCCAGTGTGTTTAGTCAGCATGAGCCGTAAGAGGGGGAATGCAGTGGGGAATTGTGAGTCCATTTAGATTCAGGACACATCCGACGACGAGCCAACACGCTGTGAAATTCCTGAAGCGGGGACATGACGACTGCTATTTTCAAGTGAATTACATTCTTAATGATTCCAAGCGCTCGATTTCTAGCTGCGGTTTTACATAATTACCCAGGTCAGGTGCGTTACACAAATTTAAAGATCTTTTTCCAAAGCTTGGATCTGAACGCAGATATCGAACCCCCAAGCAACTTGTTTGTTTTAGTTAGGCCAGTGCATTGTATTTCTCAGAACGGACACATTATTCGTAATTAGAGCGTCAGCTTCGCCTCAGTTTGTCCGCGTCCTCCGCGGCCGCAGAATGCTGGTCTGCCTTGGGGATCTCACAGCTACATCGCAGAGCAAGCTCGCTGCTCCTGAATGGACAGATTTAGACGATGGTGGTCCAAGCGAAATTGCATTGTCTGCTCACAGAGCTCATACAAACTGGGGGGTAAATGTCTGCGATTTTGTTCACGTTTCCCTTTTCTGTTGCATCCTATATTTGGGCTGACTTCGGCGTCCCTTTCATGGCAGAATACGGTCTTAACGCATTTTCTGGTACCAACATGAGTGAATTTAAGTTGTGCTCATCGCACAAAAGAATTTGAAATGCATAGTTTTCCTTTTTCATTGTTGGTATATTAATGTGGTGTGTCGCGTGCTATCATATTATTAAATGTCATCATAGAAATTATCTGTTTTTATCTGTTTCGGGCGTACTTGCTGGCAAAGCAGACAATATAGGAAGCTCTTGTTTGTCATTTTTCGCCACTCGAAACAAAAACTGCACCAATATTATCGTTGAACGGAATTGGCACTTCAAAAACCAACGACTTTGTGGCATGTGGATTGGTTGTCGATTCGATACATTTATGATTTTCTGGCTCGGGATTTCACGGGCTTGCATGTTGCTTTTGCTGATGTCGTTGTTGAGATAGATATGAGTGGAACGTGAGCGAGGATCAGAGGGAAGGACAAGCGTGTCGGTCTCTGTTTCGGTTGGCAACTGAATTTTGTTCTAGCCACGTCTATTTTGAATGATGCG